AAAACCGAAAATACCGTTCCCGAACCGAACCGCTTGAATACCGAACCGAAACCCGAAACGCTCACCCCTACCCCCAATGACACATAGATATATAGGGTTTCGACACAATTGTTGACATCTTCTTCCTTGCAGCAGTAATTTTTCCTTCTTTGTGAAATAAAAATTTGCAAACTTTGGAATATATCTCTCTGTACACTTAATCGTATATATACTGTCCTTTTGTAACCGCAAATACCCTTTTTTCTCTCAAATTGGTCCGACCGAGTTGAAGAAATCCCACGCTTCCTGAATAATATCCACAAACAAAAATTATTTACAACAAAATTCAATTCCATCTCGAGCAACGGCTCCTTGAATATATATGTGTATATATATATATATATATATATAATATGGCCTAATGACATTAATATCGCTTCTGAATTCATGGTTTTTGTTATACCAAACCGGGATTATGGTGGTGGTATTATTATCATTGATGAAATAACCAAAGACACTGACCTGCAATAACTCGAAAACACTCTCTGCAATGTACTTGTGGTCGGAGGAAGCTCCCTTTTGCTGCAGCTTGTCCGGGTGGAGAATCAGTAACGCTCTCTGGTACGATCTTCTAACCGCATTCGCCTCTATCATATCCATCAGTGGCACCGGCTTCCATCCGCTCCCGGGCCAAAGAATCTGCTCACGTTCTCCGCAACCGTAATCATATCGGGCGGACCAAGGAATCTCAAACATTTCATTTCATGTGGACGGTTAGGGAATGCTACAGCAAATCACTTACGTATTGTAATGTCGACAGGAGCGAACGTATGTTCCCGTCTTTTCCTTGCGACCACTTTCTGATTTTAGCATCAATGATCTGCATATACTCGAAAACTTTCGGTATGTAAAATTCGAAGCATTCTTTGGATGAATATAGGTGAAGGTGTTGCAGAGGTTTTACCTGGATTTCGTCAGCATCATCACCGGATTTCTCGGGTTTGTCTTCATCTTGTGTTATCTCCTTCACCTAAACAGTTATTCTCGGCTCAAATTCTCGGTAGAAACATAAGAACGGGGGCACTATTGAATGTAGAAGTAATGATTCTGATTCCGCTACCTGGAAATTCAAATCGAACGGCTCGTCCGTATCCTCATGAACATTATGCTCTGACAAAACGAAAAAATCAATGCTTTCAGGACAGTTTTAGTTGTTGTTAGCTGATTTCAATCCAATGCACCATTCAAGAACCCACCTGTGCTTTGTTCTTGTCTCCGTTCTTGCCCTGAAACACCGTGAGTCCCGCTCTCCATGTTCTCCATGTCTGAATCCTTTTTCTCCCGCACTTGAGGAGGATGCTGATCCTGCAATAACATTACAGATAAAGAATTGCAAAAACAATGATACAGGAAGATATATATCGAGATATTTTCAAGACCGAAGCATAAATACCATGGCAGTAGAATCTGAATTCGGTTTCTGTTGTTCATCGATAGTCTTGTTGAGATCAGTCCCTGCAGTGTTTTCCTTAGCTCTCCATCTAAAGCTCTGTCCAAGCGATTCGCCATCTGTTCCGATTGAAGCTCCTTGGCTGAAAACCTTAATGAATTCCTTCACTTTTCCCTTCACCCTGTCTCCGTTAACTTCTTCTGTCTTCGAGGATGAGCTGGGAAAGCTCGGTTTCTCGATCTTTGTCCTGTCTGAAGAGCTTCTCTGTCCTTGTGGTTTCTTTCTGCTTTTTGAATCTCCATTGGATGGTCTCGCGTTCTTGGCTCTGCTTTTACCTTCTCTCGATTCTTCATTCGCTATTACATATTCTCCTGCAATGTAACAAGAATCAAAAAACCAAATCCGAAACCAGCTGAAATAAACATGGACAGAACATCAGCTGACAAACCTTGTTTATCATTAGCGAAAAACGAATGGATAGGCTTTATATTCGCCTCCCGAGCTTCCAATCCACCAGAAAAAGACGGTTTAGGCAGCGAATCAGGTTCTGTCTGAACATCGTCGGCTTGTGCTCTGCTTTCATCTTTATGAATACCCACTTTCTCATCGGACGTAGGCCGAGCATCCCTCGATGCCGTGTGCTGTTGTAGCGTTATCTCATCATCATCCGTGGCTTTCACCATCGCCTTCAATCTCGAACCGCCCCAAAGAACTGTGGGAACTCCCTTGTTGGGCCATTTATAGATGGAGAAGTGAAAATGCCTGGATCTTCCATGAACTTCTGAAACATTATCCGAGTCGGGTTTCGGAAAAGACCCATTTCTGAGATTAGATTGGCTTGAAGATCTTGAGAGTGGAGAAGAAGAAGAAGAAGCAGTGTCTCTGTTCTTGCTCAGACTTCGAGTTGATGAGCCGAATGTTGGCATCTCTGTTGCTTTGATAACTTTTGCGGGAAGGCTGAGGAACAATGGCGCATAAACATATGAAAAATAGGATTATAGCTAATGATTTTCATAATTCTGAAAATCATCTGTTTGATTTCAGTTCTGTTGTAACTGAAATCGTGTATTTTTTTCCGACAACGAACCAGAAATGGATTATAACTTGAACAAAAAGCAGAAGAAGGATCATAGAAGAAGACCTGAACTGTGTAGGAAGAGAAGTCCCGTAAGGTTCGGATTTGATCGGGAGAGGCCGGGTCGGACTCATGACCCGGGAACCCGGGTTCGACCCGAGCGAGTCTAGCTCACTCCTCTTCCTCGGCGACCCGATCGAAGACTCGTCGCCTCTGAATATGTCGTTGAAGAAATCACCCGTCGTGAACCGTCGCCGATTCGAAGGATCGTCGCCGAACACCGGCTTCTCGGAGGACTCGCCGAGCCACATGGGCCGCCGCGAAATCAGCGCTCCGCC